AGTAGTAATGAGTGTATTGAAATCTTGAATCTGTGTATCACAGATTTGGAGTACATGGCATTTTATGTAAAGGACGGACATTTTACAGTAGCAATAATCTATAGACCTCAATCTTACAGAGCAGACATATTCAGAAGAAACTTATTGAGTTTGGTTGAAGAATTGGAGAAACTACCTGGTGGAAGCATTGTTCTTGGTGATTTTAACGAGAATGTGCTTGTGTGTTCTTCTGTACAAAAGTTGATGGAGGAAAGAGGATTTAAACAGTGTGTTGCACAGCCAACAACAGACAGTGGTACATTGATTGATCATGCTTATGTCAGACATACAAATATTATAAATGTTGAAGTTATTCAGACATATTTTGGTTCTCACAATGCAGTTTGTCTGAAGGTGTGAACTTATTAATAATGTAAATCATAATCTTGAAGTATCTGTAAATTTAGTGTCATGAAAATATTACTTAATTCATCTGTACAAGCATGTTTTTTGTAAAATGATGGGGTGGGTTGGGAGGGCCAAGGGATGCCATTCCAGGCTTTTTTTTAAATTATGCATTAGGTAGTTGATGGTCAAATTGTATTTAACCTAAAAGCTGTTGACAGCTAATAAAAGGTATGATACAAGGCATCATTGACTGACTGTTGGCAACTATTCATGTCATTGTGACTTACTGAATCATGACTAGCAAAGAATCTCTATCATTAATTCAATTTGTGTAATATTTTGTATGGGAAAAAGTCAGGAGAGACAACAGTGACATTTAATGTCCAGAACAGTCGCCTGGCACAAAAAAAAAATAATTACTGCTTGTACAGGTGTAATTATATGAGTACTCATATTGCGCATTTAATAAATGAAGTATAATACTGGCAATGATCTATCATATACTTGTGTTGTACATATACTTGTGTTGTACATATGGACTGAATACATGGACATGTCCGAATACAAAGTGGCAAAAGAATGTCCCTGGTGCCAAGTGACGCGGTGGCATTAGGGATAAAATTTAGTATGCACTTTTTAGATGTAGCGTCTGTGTGTTGTTGTTTTTCATGTCTGTCTTTTTTGTGTGTGTGTGTGTGTGTCTGTCTGTCTTTTTGTATTTCAAGTTAATATTAAATAATCTATTGTATTTCTGAGATTTCTTCAATTCAAATTATTTTATATACATTATATATGACACAAATGTAAAACATGCAGCATATTGCATTGTCACTAAGTGCTAGCATATTGTAGAAACAATAACGTTAAACAATTCTAGTACTTACTGGAAGATTACATTGCTGTGAAGTTTTAAGATCAAACTTTGCAAAGTAACTGCAATGTCTTTAACATATTGATTATTTAGCAGTGGAACAATTGTGCTGAACTTGGTATAGCATCGCCATTCTACAAGTCAATGTATCATCAGTGTGCCTCATCAAAAGGACACAATTTTAATGCAGTATTGATAACCAACACTGGTCAAAACTGTCAAATAAAAGTGCAATATTTACTTTTTTTAGAGAACACTTATTTTGAAAGTAATACCATGTTATGTATCTTTTTATGGCAAGTTTGAGCTTTAGATATAGTTAGATTTTCGTTTGCTTTTAATTATTTTTTGTGAACTTGTGAATATATGAATAAGATTTACAGTTAAAAACAGGTGATGATAACTTTCTGCTATGTTCTTGTATTCACGTTTGAATGAACCTTTAATAGCTACATGTAGGAAGTTGGTTTCTATTGAATGTACTTTACCACATCCTTCAATAGTCTGATTGCTTAAAAACACTTTTGTCTGGCTATGTTGATGATGCTGACATCTAAACATACTGCTATTAGTTTGCCAGACAGAACTCTCAGTATCATGTGGCAATATCAGTGAAGTAAAGTGGCTGAAGTTAATAAGGTGCTTACCTACACATTAATTATTATTTTTCTGGAATATGGGCTACTTCAGTTGTACATTAAAGCTATTATCCTATTTTAGTACTTTTGTGATAATATATGCATACTCCTGCTATAAATAGTCTACAACAAACTTGTATAGTTTTTCCTTGAAAATTTAAAGAAAATGTGAAATTTTAAGCAGAAAGCATATTAACCATTCTTGTTGTTGTTTATGTTTACAGGTTATATGACAAGAATATGAACAACAACACTCAAGAAAAATTTCTGAACCAAACACCAGTGTTCACAAACTACTAGCCAACTACATAAGTTAAACAAGTGACATTTGCTATTCAGAACTCACATTATCATGTGGCAATATCAGTGAAGTGAAGTGGCTGAAATTAATAAGGTGCTTAACTACAATGTATTTATTATTTCTCTGGAATTTTGATCATCTCAGCTGTACATTAAGGCTTAGTATTTTATACTAGTATAGTCTTGGAAGTTGTATATGTTTCAAACATGTTAAACTTATTATTTGTTTTGGTATATATGTTCCTTCACATAGATTTGATTACAAATGTCTACATCTACACAGTGCACTTGCCGAATACATCTTTCACAGAAAAGTCATGCTGAGTGTGGTTGCTAGTCGACACAAATTTCAGGGTTAGTCTTTCACGTCATGACCCTTTGGCTGTATGTATTATGGTTCATTTATCAATCTTTTACTAATTTAGGTTTAATGTTTTAAATGTGATTGTATTTAATAACTAGCATTTTTTCCTAGGTTTTATTACATTTCAAAATAGTATGTGCAAATATTGAACAATTGTATAACAATTATTCTGTCAATCTTTCAAACAACTCAGCCTTTGGTCTTCTGCAATACATAACTTTAATATAACAACTGGCATTTACTGTGATAAACACACTCATGCACACTTGTGTCATAATAGTCAATGTTTTATCTCTGAAAGTAAAACAAATCTGAAATTTGGAGCAGAAAGTATAATAATAATATTTTTTTTTTATATATTTTCAGGTTACATGACAAGATTATGAACAATAATATTTAAGAAAATGCCTGAACCAAACAGCTGTGTTCACAAACTACCAGTTACATACACAAGTTAAATAAGTGAAATTTGCTAGTCAGAAGATAACTAGTTATAAAGGCTCCATAGTGTAATTTAATACACATCCAAAAAATGAATCAATCTTGTCGCAGCTGTATGCTATATTTTAATAAATTAACCCCCAATTAAAATTTGCTTGAGAGTCACTACCATACTAATGTAGTTCAACACTAGCTGAGTTTAAATTTATATTTGTCCTTTTACTAGAACTCAATATAATGCATATTGTAAATAACTACTCATTGGTAACAAGGTTGTGTTGTTAACGATTATGATTTTTGTATTATCAGTATTGTATCCAATATGACATGACAATATTACATCTTGTGAAAAGTTTACTTTATTTTTAGCATTAAAATCAACTCTATTCATCCAATTATATCTTGAATACACAAGTATGACAAGTTGTATGTGGCAACGCGTGTCCACTGGAAATAGGTATTGTATGTTTAATATATAACAATGCATACCAAGATCTAGTTCTGCAATAGCAAATGCTTGGTTTTGATGAATTTTTATCTTTACATTTTTTGTATAATGTGGCCATCCTGAATATTGTGTACATTGTTTAAATATAATCGCTTATGAAATCCTAGAGATACTAGTGTATATTGTTTCATGGATAGGGACAGGGAGGATCTTTATGAATAAATTGTGCGGGAAAAAACAACACTGGCAATTTTTCTACCACTATTGGTTATCAACTTTAGAGCTTTGAAACACTTGCAGACTTGTTCACAATTAATATAAAAAAAAATGTACCACTATTGGTTATCAACTTTAGAGCTTTGTAACCAGGAAATACAACAAAATGGAATGCTTTTGTCAGCACATATTTTTACTTTATTAATATCACTCCAGTATTTATGAGCTTGTAACTTGGCTGTTCAGCTTTGTTTTCAAAACTAGCTGGAATAAATTATTTTTCATTCACTTTTGTACATATTATGTAGATATTATGGATACTAGCTATATCTTTTACTATTTTTTTTTGTATTGGGAAACCTGATATACATGACTAATATAAAAATATTATTACCATGCACATGACCATTACTTGCTATACTGAGTTCTGTGATGATATATGGTCACTTAATATGTTAGCCATTTCTCTTGATCAATGCCTTCAATATAGCCTTAGTTCCATGTTCGTATGTGTGATAGTGCTTGATATATTAGAGACTTGCAAGAAACAGGCATATTTAATGAGTTCTGTGACCATATATGGTCATTGAATATATTGGTCAAATCTTTTGTCTAATGTCTTCAATATAGCGTACGTTACATGTCTGTACTTGCAATAGTTTTCGAGATATTACAGACATGCATATTTAATGAGTTCTTTGACCATATATGGTCATTGAATATGCTGGTCAATTCTCTTGTCCAATGCTTTCAATATAGGTTTGGGTACATGTCTATCTTTTTAAGTGCTAGAGATATTAGAGACATGCATATTTAATGAGTTCGATGACCATATATGGTCATCAACTATGTTGGTCAATTCTTTTGTCCAATGTCTTCAATATAGCATTGGTTCCATGTTTGTACTTGCAATAGTGCACGAGATATTAGAGACATGCATATTTAATGAGTTATATGACCATATATGGTCATCGAATATGTTGCTCAATTGTCTCGTCCAATGTCTTCAATATAGCACTGGTTGCATGTTTGTACTTGCAATAGTGCCTGAGATATTAGAGACATGTATATTTAATGAGTTCTATGACCATATATGGTCATCGAATGTGTTGGTCAATTCTCTTGTCCAATGCCTTCACAATAGGTTTGGGTACATGTTTCTATCTTTAAAAGTGC